TGCAGGCCCTCTGGAAGCTGTGCTGCTTGCATGTCAGAGTTCCCTGGCGTTCTGCAGAGCTCCCACTTCCCCACCTGGGTTACCTGACTTTGGTGCAAGTACTAGTAGAGGCTGGATGTTGAGTCCCCCACCCTGCCTGAGCTCCAGGTCATTGCAGGGCGCGGATAATGCTAGGGAGATAGTGGCGCACAGGAAGATGAGATCTCACCTTCAAGGAGCACAGCTATCCCTCTGTTCCTCAGAGCTCCCCTGGGCCTCCCCCACGTGGGTTTGAGAATTCAGAGGTGACTGATGGGCCTGTCTGCCACGAGCACTCTGGGGGTGAGTGCCGTGGCTGCCTGAGGTTCTGCCAGCCTTCCTGTGGATGGGATGGACAACACAGTGTGGTTTGCTTCGGCTCAGGAGAGGTTGTCGATGCTGAGGAAGCCTCAGAAGTTGCTTTCCACAGATGAGCTGCACTGGCATTCTCGGTGGTGGGGAAGCATCCGTTCATGCTTTTGTGCCAACCGTTCCGTCCTGTTGGGAATGTTTCTCTCTCCACTGGCACCTGTACCTCCCATGTCTGTCTGACATGCTTCCCCCAATCTTTCCAGCCACCGTCCAAGATGGCGCTGGTGGAAGCCCCCCAGAGCCCCTCCTTCCATGCCCCCCAACACCTTGTATCTGTTGTACTCCAGCTCCAGGCTTGTACCCACCTCCCCGAGGGCATGCAGGTGCCACAGTTCCTCCGTTGTATCCACCCAGCTGCCAGCACAGCACTGGCATATGGGCTTGACACCTCTCCAGCAAACAAAGGGACAGGTGAAAACAGGAAGAGGCGCTGATCTGCACAGACAGTGGGTGCCCAGCCAGGGCTGAGCACAGTGGGATTACTCACCAGCCTAAGGGTCCCCTGCCCGGGGCCTTCCTGCTGGGGCAGAGAAGCCTGCTTGGGAGGCCTGTCACCTCCTAAGGTGTTTGCCCTGCATCCACCTGCATTCCAGCCCTGCCTTCTTGCTTAGTCACACCCAGCCTTTCACCTCTGGTTCTGTAAGGCCCACATTGACCCCCAGGCCTCCAGTGTTTTAATTGGCTATGTAAACAGAGCTGCTGTGGCATAATTCTGAGTGACACCATTCCTATCACAGCCTACAGGTCTGGTGCCCCTGGAGTTGTGCAAAGCTCAGCCTCCACCATCATACGCAGTGGCCCCACTGCCAGCTCCCTGATGATATTCTCATCCCCCCACTCCTCCACGGCTGGAGCTGGCCTTTGGGTCCGTATGCTCATCTCTAGAAGTGGAGTTGGTGGCAGGGGTAAAACAAATCAAAACAGACTTTTGAGGGAGCTCTCAGGAATCAGGCCCCGGTGGAAGGTGAACTCTGTGAATGGTCCCCAAACACTACTGTACGTAAAATCCCCCACTGGTTAGATGGACAGATTGCTTTGGGGGCAGTCCTGTTACCATCCTAGTCACAGTGTGTTTAGATCTGTATTCAAATGTCTTTACATTTCCTTAAGTAAAAGGGGAGAAGATAGCCCCAACACCTCTTGAAAGCAAATGAGATGAACCCAGGAGGGACGTGCCAGCTGCCCGGCTACAAAATAAATAATCAAGAGTGGAACGTGACCTTCGCCGGCCGCTGGAGGTTTCTTAGGAAGGCAGTGCTGGTGGGAATACTCCATCAGGGAGTGCAGTCCAGGGAAGTAAGAGGGAGGGAAAGAAAAGTAGGGCTGGGACAGAGAGAGCAAACACAAGGGACGATGGTATTTTGGAGCGGCCACAGCTTTGCAGCAGCACACACGGAACACCTTGGAGAAGCCTTGTGGAGCCACCACATTCAGAGCAGCCAGTCTGGGGTGAGGAGAGGCGGGCGAACCATCCGTGGGCTCTTTCCAGTTCCTGCCTCTCATTAGTAAAACTGGGTCTCATGGGACTTGACTTCCTCATCTTCCGGGGAGCATCCCCCGCCCCTCAGCCACTGGTGCAGCCTGGCAGGGTGTGGGGTCTCTCTGTGGGAGTCAGCTCCTCCTTGGGTGGCAGTGGCAGCAGCAGTGGCAGTGATTTTATGACCATGGGACCAACAGCTCTCGACAAGGGACCAAGGTGAGTAACCTGCAGGGGCAGGCAGGGTGAGTCTGTCTGGAGCAACATCCGCTAAGTCCAGTTTCTTGATATCAGCACATGCCACCTGCAAAAACCCTAATTTCAGCTGAAGGTTTGGTGGGGAAGGGCTGCGGGGACCCGTGTGCTCATCCTCTGTGCCCCTCATGGGTGAGCACACTGTTCTTCCTGTCTCTTGGGGGGGGGTCAAAGAAAGGAGCATGATCAACTGTCCTGGTTTTCATCAAGGAACTGCATTTAAATTGAAACAGGAAGGCTGAAATATTCAGGAAAACCCTGATTAGCAGGAACCCAGCTATCGGAAACCCTCATGAATTAGGAATCTATTGCTGCCTAGCAAAATACTACAAATGAGTGGCTTAAAACAACCTGCATTTATAATTGCAGGGTTTCTGTGGGCCAGGATTCCAGGCACAGCTGAGCTGGGTCTCCTGCCTGAATTTGCACAAGGCTGCAATCAGTCAGCCAGAGCTACAGTCTCCTCCGAGACTTCCAGGTCCCTTCCAGGTCACTTCCAGGTCCACTCCAGTTGTTGGCAGAATTCAGTTCCTAGTGGTTGCAGGCCTGAGAGCTTCAGTTTCTAGTGGGGAGAGTGCTGGAGACCGCCCTCAGCAACTTGGGGTTCTATGCCCGGTAGTGTTCCCCAACATGGCCACTTGCCTCCCCAAATCCAGCAAGGGAGGAAGAGTCCAACAAGGTGGGCACTATAGTCCTATGTAACGCCATCATGTTTGCTCTGTGTCTTGGTTGGAAGCAGCCACAGGTCTCATCCACACTCAGGGGAGGGCATTGCACAGGTGTGAGCACCAGGAGGGCAGGGATCACGGGCCACGTGCCACCACACCTTATTTTAGAACTTTTCCTATAGGCGAAAGCAGCAAATAATTGAATAAAACCCACCACGTGTTTCATCAGGAATTAAGTGGTTTGTTTTTGTAAATTCCATGGGATGTGCTGAGTCAGCTCCTGTCACCATGTGCATCTCCATCTCCTGATCTGCACTCACAGAATGATGGCCTGGCCTCAAGTCTGTTCTCTGAGTTCTTTGTAAGGCAGAGAAGTGGGCCCAGACAACAGAAAGAGACTCAGAGTCTTATCCAGTGGTCAATATCCAAAAAACTTTCCAACAGTAAATGATATGTTTTTCTGCTTAAATATCAACAAACAGGCATATTCAGTTACCTGGAAAATTCTCATTCGGGAAACCTGAGCCTGCTCGAAGAAACAAAATCATCAGAGATTCTGCATTACACAGATCGAGCAGCCACTGGATGAAGGGGCCTCACCAGGAGCTTGGGCTGGGGGCAGTCGCAGCCCCATCTGCAGCCCTCTCCTCCTAAGGGCCTCTCTCCTTCATTCCCACCCAGCGCCCTCCCAGCCTCAGATGCCCAGCCACTGTGTCAAGATGTAATTGACTGACTGCCCCAGACCAGTCCAGGCTCTACTGAACCCATCAGGGCAGGAACAATGAGGTGCAGCTCAAAGGCTATTTCTCAGGCTCATGGTTGACGGACCTCACTAGCTGCGATTATCATTTTAATTGCAAGGCCACCACAGCCTTATATTCAGGGCACAGATTTCAAAGACCACAAAGCACTCTGCAGGCTTCAAAGGGAACTATGGAAGGCTTGTGCTTCAGACACAAAGGGGCCCATGACGACATCGTTCTTTCTTTTATCTTTTAGAGATGGGGTCTCACTCTGTTGCCCAGGCTGAAGTGTAGTGGTGTACTCACTGCAGCCTCGAACTCCTGGGCTCCAGCAATCCCCCTGCCTCAGCCTTCTGAGTAGTTGGGACTTACAAGTGCACACCACCATGCCCGACTACTTTTTTTTTTATTTTTTGTAGAGACAGAGTCTCACTATTTGCCCAGGGTTGTCTCCTGGATTCAAGCCATCCTCCCACCTTGGCCTCCCAAAATGCTGGGATTACAAGTATGAGTCACCATGCCCAGGCTTGTTTTGTTTTTAAAGATAGGTATATTAAGAGATAATGCACACACAGTACAGCCCATCCTAGTGAGTGGGTATTCTTTGAGTTTTCACAGACACATATAACTGCCACACAGCTGCTTTAGCTGTGAGTTCCAGCACATCATAATCAGGCGATTCATCTGTCTGTGTTGGCACAATTATCTATCACACCCCTGAGGTGCTGCTGGAAAATGCCCTTTTTCCTCATTCTGTCCAATCTAGGAGCTACTCCCCCAAATGGCTTTGACCTTCTGTAGCTGCTCTATTAAGAGAGCAAATCCAGAGTGAGAACAGAGTTTCCCTGTAGGCAGCAGGGCCTGGTATATTTCTAAGAGGTCTCACTTGGTGGTAAGAAAGCAAGAATATGGTTGGGTCACAAGAAAACCCAAGCGAGCAGTGCCTCACGCCTGTAATCCCAGCACTTTGCGGGGCTGAGGCAAGAGGATCACTTGAACTCAGGAGTTTGAGACCAGCCTGGGCAACATAGCAAGACCTTGTCTCTACTAAAAACTTAAAAACGTGGATAGTCTTGCATTTTGGTGATGGGCCAAGAAGGCTGATAGGGCAAACTTTTCTTTTCAGATGTATATTGAGTTCTGTCCCTGTGGCCTGAGTCCAGGGCAGAAGTGTAGGCTGTACAGCACCAAGGGCCTCACTGGGGACAGGGCCGACGTCTTATCCTTCCTATGCCTCTAGCACTTAGTACAGCTGACATTGGCAGCTGTTTATTGAGTGGCTGAGTGAGTGGTCTTAGGCTGGAGATGGGATGAGGCCTTGTTTGGAGGTGGGTTCACCCACGGCTCCTGGGTGTCTGAAGACAGTGGGCAGAAGCCCCATGGAGAGGGGCCCTGTCTCTGCTCGGGTGGGACTGTTCACCTCCGTCCCTGAGTGACCACAGCACCTCCTCACTTGTGTGCTTGCAGAACTACTTTGAGAGCTACCTTGCCGTTGCCTCCACCGTGCCCTCCATGCTGTGCCTGGTGGCCAACTTCCTGCTTGTCAACAGGTAGGCAGCTCTCCTCCCTCTCTCAGGCCTCCACCTTGGCCTCCTGCCTCCTCTACTCCCCTCTTGCCTGCAGCTGCTTTTTTTCTGCCTACTTAAGTGGTGGTCACCCAAGTAGGAGGCAGCAGCTCAGATTTGTGCATGAACAGCGAGAAGTCAGATCAGGTCCCTGCTGATGCCCCTGGGGAGCTGGGCTTTCACTCTCCAGCCACACGCTGTGACATCGCTGTGACATTGTGGCAGCAGCCAGTAGGAAGTGTGTGGGGATGCAGGGATCTTCCTCCCTTCTCTTCTCAGGGATCCTGTCTGTCAGTCTGCAAGTCCCTTGGCCCAGAATGGGTCACCTGACTGTTCAGTGCTAAGCTGGTAACACCAGCTCATGTGTCAACCACTCCCAAGAAGGCTCATGCAGAAGTTCTGACATTGTAATGGTAAGGGCCAAGAGAGGCTCCATCTGGATGTGCCTGGGAAGGAGTTATTCAGGAGCTAGCTAGGCAAATTAGCATGTCCATAGACCCCCCTTGGGTGACTTGCTGGCTCAAATTCTCAATTTGAGTTTACAAGGACAATAGCCCTAGCTACTTTGCCTGCGTTTCTTCTAAGCTGCCGCTAAGTGATATCAATGGCTACGTTGTGGTCCAAAAACCTGGACTCCTGTTCACCATGGCCTACTAAAACCTGAGGTCACTGATGGCAAATCTGTTTTGCCTAGTTCTAATCAATTTGTAGTGACTGCCAGATCTCTAGCTGGACAAGATTCTAAGGCAGGTCTGGCTTCAGGGAGGGTGCTGGGATTGATTAGTGATGTCTGCTGTGGGTACAGGAGGAGAGAGGGCACCACGAGTGTCTTTTACATGCTGAGCCTGAGTAGATCAGTCTTTCCAAACATATCATGCCATGGGGATATTGCAGTTATCTGTTACATAATATGATCCCAAAGCATAATGGCTTAAAACAATAGCAGTCGTGAGTACTTCTCACGTTCTGGGGGTTATCAAGGCTCAGCTGTTGTAGTCTCTCCTGCATCTGCAGTCAGATGGCAGCTGGAGCTGGCGCCATTCATATCCCCTCTCTTTCTGTCTCCTCTCTCTTTGTAGTCTCACACGTTGGCCTCAGGGTAATAGGACGGCTTACTCAGTGGCTGAGAGCAAGGGAGAGGCTCTGTGGTTTTCACAGCCTGGTCTCGGAAGTCATGTGCTGTCACTTTTGCCACACTTGACTGGTTTGGGCAGTCACAAAGTCTACTTCGTTTCAAGGGGACATAGAACCCGCCTCCCAATGGAAGGAGGGTCAAAGAATTTGCACCCTTCTCCAAACCAAAGTGCAGTCTGGAAGAATGAGAAGGAGAGGTGTGTTGCAGCCCCTCTTACCAACCAGCTGGCCTTTGTGGGCCTCACTTCTGCCTTCCTAGGGCCATATTCAGTGTCCTAGCAGAGGGGGCACAGCCTGCAGAGACCCCACCCCAGGAGGAGAGTGGAGGAGGGCAGAGCAGGGGCCCCGGCTGCACCTCACAGGAGAGAGGGTGTGTGGAGAGCCAGTGCAGGCAGGAGCGGGAGGCGAGGGAAAGGGGAGACAGCTGTGGTGGGGGGAACCCTTGGCTCCCTCATGGTTTTCTCTGTCTACTCACTTGGCCTGCCCTGAGGATGGGGCTATTTGTCCAGCCCAGATAGTCTAGAGAGAGCTCCCAGCACCTTCCAGTTCCAGGATCACCATGTGAACTATAGCGAGAGTGTAATGCCTCAGTCACCCCTTGTCATGTCCCTTAGGCTTCACTGTGACCCAGGAGGGAGGCCATGACATTGCCCCATTTTCTAGGTGGAAGTCAGGAGACCACAGGGTCACTATGGGGTGGCCAAGCCTGCCTCTTGCCTCTTCAGTAGTCCGGAGGTCCCACAGGCTGAAAGTCCTCCTGGGCCATGGGTCAGGAGTAGCAGGGAAGGTCTAGCCTCTGGGCCCTGAGAGAATGCTGTCTAATAATCCTAGCACTTCTGAGCATTATATCCTGCAGATGCATTATCTCCTTTAACCCTCATGGCAGCCTAAGAGCGGGAAACTGCTGTGACCCTGCTTTGAGATGGGAAAACAGGTTCATGGAGGTGACTGGCCCAGGGGAATGTGGCCATTAAGGATGGAGCCAGGTGGAGTGCAGTGGCTCAAACCTGTAATCTCAGCACTTTGGGAAGCCATGTCAGGAGGACTGCTTGAGCCCAGGAGTTTGAGAGCACCCTGGGCACTATAGCCTGGCATGGTGACACATGCATGTAGTCCCAGCTACTCAGTAGGCTGAGGCAGGAGGATTGCTTGAGCCAAGGAGTTCAAGTCTGCAGTGAGCTATGGTCACGTCACTGCACTCCAACCTCGGCTAGAATGAAAGGGAGGAGTCAGGATTTGAACCAGGACCTTCTCACCCTACATCTGTGCTTAGAACCCCTGAGCCACCTACCTCCTAGTTCCGCAACTTTGTACCCATCCCTGCCCCTGCAGCCAGAGCCACTCCCAAGATCCTTCTAGCGAGAGCCCTGTCTCTCCAGGATTCAGGCTGCTGGGATGGAAGGGGGTGGTTAAGAAGGGCTGGGTCTGTCTCCAGTGAGATGTGGGCCCCCAGGCCAGCTGCCCTCCGAGATTGGGTCCCGGCAGATGGCTCAGCAGTTACAGGACATTCTGAGAGGGGATTAGCCCACCCCTGTCCTGCCCTTGCTCCTACTGGGCTCTAGGAGAGGGGCAAGGGCAATGCAGGAACACGCTCTGGGGCCTCCATCTGTTTCCAGGCTGTGGGAAGATGGTCTGGGCTAAGCTGTTTTTTATTTAATGTGCGAGATTGAAATGTCTCCTCTTCTGCCCTCCTGGAGAACCCTGGCTTTCTCGACTGGCTTATCCGTAATCGCCAAGTGTTTTATTATGTTAAATCTGCAGCATGATAAATACTTATGAGGAAGATTTACATCTTGGAGACTTATGAAGAAATCAGTCCCCTGGGGTCCTGAGCCCTCACGAGTCAGGGAGTAGGGGGGCGGGCAACCTGGGTACTGGAGGCAACCTCTCCAAGAGTCTTCACAGGACTGAGACCTGCCCCAGGGTCTTGGTCTTGGAGCTGTCCTCTTGGCTATGCCCTGTCTCCAAGTAGAACCCCAGATGTCAGAGTAACTGAAAGTCTAGACTTTCCTAAGACCCTAAGAGCACCACCGTCTCCAGGGCCACTCTTCTTCCCTGGTGGAAGTGGCAGAGAGGGAAGCCAGTGTCCTCCGTTTGTGCCTGTGGACCAGTCTTGCACCTGGCACGTTTCGTGAAGCTTGATGAATGTTGAAAATAGCCCTGGAGCCCATGGATGGAGGCTCTGGGCAAGAGTGGTTTATGCAGCAGATAATTAGCAGGCAGGAAGGAGACCTGTGAGGATGAAGGGCCGCATAGAGGGACAGAGCAGGGGACAGAACAGCGTTCCACACTGCATTGTTTCTGGAATGCATTTGGTATAGACCTCCTCCTCTCTAATTCCTCCCCACCTTTCCTGCCCTGGGGGTGCCTGAGTAAGCAGTCCCCCAGCTCTCTGCAAAACCTTCCTGTTCAAGGAACTTACTACCTTGTAGCGACAGGCACACAGGAGGGCTCCCGTGATGCTGCACCATTCCTGCTGGACTTTTTCCTGGCTGTGTCTACGAGGAGGCGGTTAGAGGCAGAGGCCATTCCCCAGGCTGGCGGATGTTTCCAGCCGAACTTCCTGCCATGCTGAGGTGGCAGGGATCAAGAAGCAGACAGTCGCTGGGAGGCTCAGGCCAGCGTGAAACTGCCCCCCGGGTGCTACTGATCTCCCTTGCTTGTCAATTTATACATCCAGCAAATATTTACCCAGTGCCTCCAGGTCCTGTGTCTGTGCTCGGGGAGAACAGGCAGGGTCCTGCCTTTTTAGCATGCCTCATCTCTCCAGCCTGGCCTTTGCCTCCTTCTTGCCCCAAGGAACTGGTTCAAACTTCTTGGCATTTGTTCTCAACCTCTCTCTCCACTTGAATTTTTTTCAGATTTAGAATCATTAGCTGTTAGGGACCTTAATATTATCTGGTCTAGCTTCTTGTTATAGATGAGGGGACCGAGGCCCAGAGAGGTTGAATATTTGTCAGGGGTTACACAGTGAGCAGATGACAGAGCTGGGCAGGGCTCTGGTCTCCTGACTCAGGCTCCATGCCCTGCTGGCTCTTATCTTGGGAGTGGATGGGACAGCTACAGCTGCTAGGAGAGGGTGGGGACACTGTGTGACAGGGCTCAGTATGTAGGACCACCTCGAGCATCGGGGTAAGGCTTGACTGCTGGCCTCCAGGGCCCCTGCTGTACTCTTACAATAGATGCTCTGGGCCACCAAGGGTCCAGATGCCCACCTGGCTGCCCACCAGCTTCTGTCCAGGCCAGAGCCCCTGCAGACCTTGAGAAGATATGCGTTAGTGTGAGGTCTTCATGGGCATCTTAATGCAAGGTTCCCCACAATCAGGCCCTGAAACAAGGATTCAAATGCGAGTAGTTTATATGGGAGGTAAAGGTGGGAGAATACAGAATGGGGACAGGGAAGGGAAGGCAGTCAGCAGAGGATTCCTTATCAAGTCAGCTCCCTCAGAAGGGACAAGAACACAGTCCTGCTGGGGATCTCGGAGAACCAGTGTGGAGCATGGCTGAGCAGGAGGGGGCTGAGCAGGAGGGAGCCGAGCTGGAGTATTTATATACCAACTTCCCTAGTCATTGGTTGAAGGCTGCTCTTAGGAGGTGTTACTTACCTGTCACTCCCAGCATTGCTGTAGCTTCTGACCCTGTCATTCCCAGCTTGAAACCCTGATGTACCTCTTTGTGTTAGTGGGTACTTTTAGTAGGAACAACAGACACACAAAAAAGGATGTCCTCTTTCTTTAAGTGGAAATTAAAGGCAGGTCCACCTTTAGGCATCATTGGATCAAGGGGATCTCCTCTGCACCCCTCCTGGGCTCTGTGTGTCTCTGCATGGCTTTTCCTCCGTGTCTAGCCTCGCCCCACACAGCTAGCTAGATGGCAGCCAGCAGCCCCAGACACAGTCTCGGCAGCGAGCTTCTCTCCACAGCTTCCATGTAGCAGTCCCAGGGAAGACTTAATGACCCTGTGTGGGTCACATGCTAATTCCTAACTCAACCCCAGGGACCAGGAGCAGGGAACACTCTGATTGCCCCAGGCTGCGTCACGTGCCTGTTGTTGGTGGCTCTGTCGGTGTGGGTATGGGCAACCTGGCTGACCACCTCCCCAGGATGACTAGGCCAAGGAATGTTCTCCCAGGGGGTGGTGCTGACAAAGGCCCTACGCCCCGCCCTCCTCCAGCACATGAGTCCACACGCCTCTCTCCAGCATCACCTCTGTGCTCCTCTGCTCCCATCTTGACTGCAGCCAGAGTCCATTTGCAGCTCCCTGAACATGCCTCGCTCTCCCTCCCAAGACATGTGCACTCACATCCTCATTCATCGTTACCATCCAGCATAGACATTGCCTCCAAATGACCTTCCACGATGCCCAGGGTGGGTTTAGTGCCCCTCAGATGTGCTGCACGATGCCCTGGGCTTCCTGATGGAGCATCTGCCACAGTGGTACCTGTTGCTGGTCTGTCCCATGTCCTGGGCATCCAGCACAGTACTGGACACACAGTAGTTGCTCAGTGCACATTTGCAGAATGACCACACCATTGAGTATACACGTTAACAATCTGAGTGATGGGCTGGGATTCAGCACACCTGGGTTCTCATCCAAGCTCCCTACGGAGTCACTCCACAACCTTGAACTGTCCCTTCACTTCCTTGGGCTTCCTCACACCCCTTAGAAAGCAGTGACAGCACCTGCTGTCTCTTTAGCTGAGGACCAGAGGGAAACTCAGATTAGCCTGGGGCCACAAAAGCACTTTGAAAAAATTCCTTTCTTGCTTTTCATGTTCATCATTTCACACCTACTTTTGTGTGTGTGTGTGTGTGTGTCTGTGTGTGTGTGTGTATTTTTTTCTACCTTTCAAATTTTTCTTTTTTTAATAAAAAAAAAATTATGGAATCTGGCTTTTCTCCCAGCCCCTCCCACTGGTTAGCAGGAAAATTAACTACACATCCAATCCGGTTTAAAGCTTAGTCTAATCTGATGATTTAAGCAGCCCCTTGAGATGATGTTCTTGCTCCCTAGAATAAAAATGTGCAGCTTCTCAGATAGACTGCTTCCCTGCTTTTCTCCCCAGGCCAGTATGGGGGCTGGGAAGAGTGCATGGCTCATATGCAGGCCTGGTGCTAGGGAGTGTGAGGGTTCCCTGGGCCCCAGGCAGCACTCACTTGGCATCAGCTGCTCCCCATGATGACTGAGGTCATCACAGGAGGATGCCCCTGCCCTGACCACCACTTCTGTGCCATCCATATTTCCTCACTCCAGGGGAGGCAGTAGAACATCATTCTGAGAACTGACCAGAGCCAGACCTCCTGGGTTCATTGCTGAGTGACTTTGAGCAAGTTTCGCAACCTCTCTGACCTCAACTTCCTTATCTGTATACATGGGATAGGTAGGAATACCTGTCTTACAGAACCAGTATAAGAATCAAACACACTGGCATATAGGAAATGCCTAGAAGAGTGCTAGAAAAGTATGCATTAAACACTGTTTGAGTGTTTGCAATGATGATGATGATGGTGGTGATGATGATGATGATGATTTTCTTCCCTTCTTCCCTTTCCCCCCAAACCTTCCGCTAAGTTTTGGGGAAAGGAAGCTCAGTGGGTGGCTGCTCTGTTTAAACACTAGACAAAGCCAGCAGGAGCTCAGCCCTGTGGCAGGAAGAGCAGGGGTTTGCCTCGAACATCCTGGTGTCCTTGTGTCCTTGAACCTCACAGCAAGGTGAAAAGCAGCACTACCCACTGAGCGCTGGTCCCGAGCCAGGCACTGCCCTCTGCACCCCACACTGCTCACCTCTTCCACCACACCCCCACATGAGTTGAATCAACTCCCCCCATTGTACAAGTTCAAAAGCTGAAACCAGAGCAACTGAGTCCCTTACCCAAGGCCACACAGCTAGGCAGCCAGGAAAGCAGGATTCGAGTTCAGGCCTCTTGACTGCAGAGGGAGTAGTCCTAACTGCTAAGCTCGCCTGCTTCACTTAAGGTGGCTCACCAGCCCCAGCCCACACAGGAGCCCCAAAGGGGTGTCTAACGGCTTCTGGCATCCTCGCCCCAGGGTTGCGGTCCACATCCGTGTCCTGGCCTCACTGACGGTCATCCTGGCCATCTTCATGGTGATAACCGCACTGGTGAAGGTGGACACCTCCTCCTGGACCCGTGGCTTTTTTGCTGTCACCATTGTCTGCATGGTGATCCTCAGCGGTGCCTCCACTGTCTTCAGCAGCAGCATCTATGGCATGACCGGCTCCTTCCCTATGAGAAACTCCCAGGCACTGATATCAGGTGAGAGCCGGGGTCCGGGCAGCTGACCAGGTTCATCCACCCAGGAGTCATGGGAGGGAGCCAGAGATGAGCATGTGGTGGCCTTTTCTGAAAAGGAAGTGGCGTGGGTGCTACTTGTGTTTCAGTCATCTAGTAATGTGGAACAAGCTACCCCAAAACTTAGTGGCTTAGAACAACAACAGTCATTTCTACTACTCACAAATTTGCAGCTCGGACAGGAGTTTGCAGGTGTAGCTCTTCTCTTCTCCCCATGGCATCAGCCAGCACAGCTCGACGGGGAGCTGGAGGATCCAGTTCCAGGTGGTGCGCTCTCCTGGCTGGCGTGTTGGTGGTGGCTGCTGGCGGGAAGCTTAGCCAGGGCTGAGCTGGGGCCAAGGACTTCCATTCCTCTCTATGTGGACCTCAAATGGCAACTTTGACTTCCTCATGGCATGGTGTCTGGGTTGCAAAAGCCAGCATTTCAGGAGATCCAGGCAGAAGCTTTATTTCTGATTTAGCAAAAGAAGCCACATAGGGTCAGTTCTACCATAGCCATAAGCTCACACAGACTCGAGACAGATGGACCCACCTCTGGGAGAGTAGGCAAGTCTCCCCCACTGTGACTGTGAGAAGGTAGGCAGGAGGGGAGATGGAGTTGCAGCTATTTTTGGATAACATGGTCTGCCTACAAAATGCAGTTCCTGAAACCAGTCTTCTTCCCTTTCCTTCCCTCCTTCTCCTATTCCTCTTCTATTTTTCCTTTTCCTTATCTTTTTTCCCCTTCTTGTCTCCTTTCCTTCCTTCTGTCTTTTCTTCCTTTCTGATTTTATAGAGAACCTGCTATGTCCTGGGGATGCAAAGATGAACAAGCACTGGTCCCCTCGGAGCTGATGGCTCAGTGAATAAACTCTCATCCCCAGCTCCCCCAAGCTTTGGTATTCCGTGGGTGTGCCTGTGCACGACGTGGTCTGACCCCTCTAGCTGACGTTTGATGCTGATGTTGATGAGCCTGTTCCGGAGGCCTTGGCAGTTTTGTTCTCTAAGCTGGAGACACACACGTCTCTCACCCAGGTGACCCAGCCAGGTAAAAAAGAGTGGGTCAGGAACCATTGGTACTTTGCCAGGAGGCCACAGTCCCTGGGAGCAAGACTGGAGGCTCTGCTGCTGTGTCTGCCCCTCCACATGCCCCTGTTGTGCAGAGGAGAGCTCTAAACATTTGCCCACTGACAGCAGTTTCACAAGGAACCTGCGCTGTGCCCCTCAGTTAATAACACCGGGAAGCATGTGGCCAGGATGACAATACTTTGACAAGGGTATGTCCCTTCCCCACTCAGGCCAGTGCCAGACATCACTGGTGGATCTTTATCTTTCATCCTGAGCTTCTAAATCCTTCTCAGCGCAGCACTTGAGGCAGTTACTCTCAGCAGTCAGAGTCTAGATGTGAGCTTCAATCTGTTTGCCATTTCTGAGATCGGATTAGGCTTCTGGCTGTATCCTGGGAAACACTTGAGCCTAAGATAAAATAAAAATGGACCTGTTGCTAAGTTTCCTGGGTGCAGGCAACACGTACTAGCGATGCTTTCAAACGGGCATTTCTGGACTAAAGGCAGTGGCCACTGGACATGGGGTTTAATCCCTTCTGTCACCATGGTCTCAGAAGGAGGCTCTTGTCCCCTTAGTTCCTTCCATCCTTGCTGGCAGCCTCTCCAGGAGCCAGTGACCAAACTTACCATTTGCATTGACAAGCAGTCCTCGGGTTCCTCTGTCCACCTGTGATCTTCTAGGGATGGGGAGTCTCCTGTGGATTTTTCAGAAAGTCTATTTAGAAAAGTGGGGAAGTTTAGTACTTCTATGCCAGTATTAATGACCCTGAGTCTAAACCATGGTCACCACTGTATGGGGCCCTTGTGGGCACCCAACACCCTGGAATATCAAGGTGTCCCAGTCTCCCAGAGGTCGCAAGGCCACCTCGCCAGCCCCACTTGCTTTTTTTCCAGCACAGCCTGTCTGTGAATTCCACATGCCTTGGCATCTGAGGAACAATTCATTTGTTTTGCGCTGGTGTTTTTTTAAACCCCTCATTTGCATGTATTTCCATAACTGATGAGATAAAAGTAGAGAGTCATGAAGGATGAGCTCCCGGAGGCCTGGTTTGTTGTTGATGATAATATTGTAAATTCTCTACAAGTTGGAAAGAGAGAGAGGAAAATCAGTAGGCAGTGATGTTAAGATCTCTTCCTTGGGGCGGCTGGGGAGTGTCTTACTGAGTTTAACCCCAGTTCTTACAAAATGTCTAGGCGGGGATTACAGCTTCTCAGAAGTGGGCATCCTCTTGGCAAAGGGTTTACCCGTTGTTGCTGCTTTGATGTGAGAAGGACAGAAATAGCCAAGCACCTAACTGGGAATCAGAAAGGATTTGTTTGGTATTTGGCACTTCTCCTCGCCAGGCAGGCTTCTGAGTGCTTCACGTGTACTAATCCTTTTAATCTTCATCACAGCCCTATGAGGCCGGTATGATTAACACCCCCATTGTATAGATGAGGATACAGAGGCACAGTGAGGTTAAGGACTTGCTGAAGGTCACATAACTGGAAGTAGTACAGCCAGGTTTGGACTCGGATGTTTTGATTCTAGAGTCTATGTTCCTAATTACAGTGCTAATTTTTATACCTTTGCCCTCCCTCAAGTACTACCCAGGCTAATACAACTTATGGTGGGGAGGCTGGGGAAAGGATCCTCCATTGGGCCAAGGGCTATTCTCTGTAGAGCCACAGAGGCCACAGGCAGAGCATGGGGAGCCGTGATGGCACACCATGGTGGACGGGGCCTGACTGTCCTGCTTCCCCTCTGCTTCGTGCAACAGTGGGCAGGAAAGTGGTGCTGCGTAAGAGCTGCCCAATGGAGACAGAGCAGGCCATGCCCACACAGACCCAGACTTCTTCCCGCCTCCTCAGGAATAGACATTCTGATCTTCTGAAGTGGGCAGGTTCATCCTGCCAGTCAACCCGGCTCATCCACCAGGCCCTTCCCACATTGATGGTGATGGTCTTGGCCTTGCAGTCAGTGCTTTTCCATTCATCATCCTGTTTCCACCTCACTACAGTCACCTGTGATGAACAGGACAAGTATTAGCCCCACTTTCCAGGCAAATAAACATAGGCAGGGAAGAAAGTAAGTGATCTGCCCACGCTGGTGCCAGTGTTCCCAAGCAACGCTGCACACAGGCCTTCTGACTTGTGGCCAGCACAGGAAGACGACCCATGGCTGTGAGGGTTCTAAGGAATAGAAGGACATGTCTGCTGCCTCCCAGAAGCAACGGTACAATCGTGGCAAGGCAGGGCATAGTGTTTGTTGAAGGCTACTGTGTGCCAGGCCCTTTCTGAACATCATCTCAGTCAGTCCTCAAAGCAACCACACAGGGTGGGGTTGTTATTCCCATTCTACAAGCAAGCACACTGTAAAGTCAGAGAAGCCACGTTACCCCTAGGGTCCCAGCTAGCAAGTAGCAGAGTCCAGGGTGACACGTCCGTCTGCCTGACTCCTAGGCCCGTTGGCACCCCAGTAAGTCGTGCGGCCTCCTCTGTTAGGTAGCGGTGAAAGGTGTGGCAGCCACACGGTCTCACGGGTAATATGTATCAAAGCCATTGGCAAGGAGAACATTCCACGTGGTGGGGTGGTTGCGTGCTTGTGTGTGTGCGTAGGTGTGTGACTGTGTGTGTGTGAGTGTTGTATGTGTTACACATGCATTCACATGTGTGTGGTGCCACAGTCGCCTTGGGGTACACAGCAGGTTCTGTGAGCTCATGGGTGGGCAATGGTGGGGGTTTATAGCCAGTGAGGATACCCCAGAAAGGGTGGCCTCCAGGCAGCCCCTGGGCCTCCTTCCCAGTTTGGTTGGTGGGTGCTTTGGGCTGGGGACAGAGAAGTGGAAATCCAGAGGTCTCTGGCACTTCCTGCCCCTAAATCTAAAATTTCAGCCCCCACTAGAAGGGCAATAAAGAGAGATGGAGGTCAAGGGTCTGAGGTGCAACAGGAAAGGCAGCGGACTGGTGGTCCCCTGGAGGCCATGTGCCACCTCAGGCAGCAGCCTCTGACAAGTCCGGCAGAGAGAGGGGGACACGACCCCCTTGGAAACTCAGGAAACGCTGGAAATGCTTGGCTGCTGGGCCCTCCCTGTCTCTGAGGCTTCAGGACACTGAGAGAGCTTTGGCACTTTTTGCACTGAGGAATTTTTATTTTGGTTTGTGAAACCCAAGCAGGGAGGGGCCTGCAGGCACTCCTCCTCCTCGCCCACCCCTCACCATCTCTGCATGTCCTCTGTTCTCTGCAGGAGGAGCCATGGGCGGGACAGTCAGCGCCGTGGCCTCCCTGGTGGACTTGGCTGCATCCAGTGATGTGAGGGACAGCGCCCTGGCCTTCTTCCTGACAGCCACCATCTTCCTCGTGCTCTGCATGGGACTCTACCTGCTGCTGTCCAGGCTAGAGTATGCCAGGTAAAGGTGCCACTCACTGTCCGCGCCTCCTTCCTGTGTGTCCAGTTATGGCCATGCTTCTTTTTCTCAGCAAATTCTATGCTGGCTTCTTGTCTAGGTGCTATGGCTCAAAGCAGTTGCTCAACAAATTGGCTGGGCTGGTGGATGTGAGAAGCTGGCTCTGTGCTGCGCCCAAGCAGTTGGAGCCTCACGTTTAATCATGGTGAACAGTAGTTCCCATTGGTGAAACACAGCCCCTTATTCCAGCGCTGTGTTCCTGCTAGCTTGATGTGTTCTACCTCATTCCATGCTCACACCTCTATCCAGGCACCAAGGAGCACACCTGTAGTCCCAGCACTTTGGGAGGCCAAGGCAGTAGATTGCCTGAGCCCAGGAGTTCAAGACCCATTCTGGGCAACACAGTGAGACCCTGTCTCTACAAAAAATAAAAACTTGGCTAGGCATAGCACCATGTGCCTCTAGTCCCAGCTACTCAGGAGGCTGAAGTAGGAGGATCGCTCGAGCCCAGGAGTTAGAGGCTGCAGTGAGCTGATTGCACTACTGCAATTCCAGCCTGGGTGACAGCAAGACCATGTCTCTCTAAAAAACAAACAAACAAAGAAACAAAAAACAAACTCACACTCCTCTGTTCCTCTTAGAGTACAGTACTATTATTATTTATTATTATTCCCATGCACAGATTAGAAAACCAGGGTTCAGAGAGATTAAATTGCTGTTGTTTTTGAAGAGACAGGGTCTCACTCTGCGGGCCAGGCTGGAGTGCAGTGATGCAATCATGGCCTGCTGCAGCCTTGACCTCCTGGGCTCAAGCTATCCTTCCACTTCAGCCTCCCAAATAGCTGGGACTCCAGGTGTACCACCACACCCAGCTATTTTTTTAAAAGTTTTTGTAGGCCGGACACGGTGGCTCACGCCTGTAATCCCAACACTTTGGGAGGCCGAGGCGGGCCAGATCACAAGGTTAGGAGATCGAGACCATCCTGGCTAACACAGTGAAACCCCGTCTCTACTAAAAATACAAAAAATTAGCCAGGCATGGTGGTGGGCGCCTGTAGTCCCAGCTACTCGGGAGGCTGAGGCAGGAGAATGGCGTGAACCTGGGAGCCGGAGCCTGCAGTGAGCCGAGATCACGCCACTGCACTCCAGCCTGGGTGACAGAGCAAGATTCCATCTCAAAAAAATAAATAAATAAATAAAAGAGAAAGAAAAACAAAAAACAGTTTTTGTAGAGACAGAGTCTTACTGTGTTGCCCAGGCTGGTCTTGAACTCCTCTGCTCAAGTGATCCTCCTGCCTCAGCCTCCCAAAGTGCTAGGATTACAGGCATGAGCCACAGTGCCCGGCATAAAGAGGTTAAATTACTTGCCTGAATCTCAGAGCCAGTAGGTAGTAGAGCCAGGCAGGATTTTAAGATGACTCCAAACCTGTGCTTGGACAGCTTGCTGCCTTATGGGGCTTCTTTCCACCTCTAGGACCTGTTTTCTCGCCTCGAGTCTTACTCTTGCTTTCTCTCTCCAGTTCCTCCTTTTGCTTTTTGCTTCCTGCTGCTTTTTACAAAAACAACCCTTGTCTTTCTCTCACGTTTTATTGTTTTCAAAGCATTTTCCTCTCCACTATTATTTGATATAGGAAAGGCAGGAGTTATCCCCATTTAACGGGTGAGGAAACTAAGACCAAGAGAAGGCTAAGTGGTGTGCCAGGTGCGTGAGCCAGCAGAGCTGGGGAGAGATCTGCCCCTGATGTGGCTCTGTTCCACGGGAAGCTATTTTTTGCAGTGGCACAAAGCTAAGCAGTTTACGTGTATATTTTTGTTTATGATTTATGACAATCTGTGCATTTGTGATTGTATTTTCTCACCTGAGAGCTGGGGAAACTGAGGCTTAGGAGAGTTCACAAGCATGCCCCAGCTCGCTCATCTGGTGAGTCACAGGCAGGACCGGAGCTGTTTCCAGAGTAGCCTCTCCCCACCGGCTCATGCTATATCCCTGGCTCGTGACTGCAAGGGCCCTTTCTCATCATTCGTTCTCCCTGTCCTCATGAGGAGAGTCACCTCGTTAACCTCTAGAACCCCCAGCCTTCCAGCAGAACATCGATTCCCCCTGGGCTGGGAGGGAGCCACTTTCCTCAGCTGTAGGACTCTTCACCGCTTCAGCAGTCCTCAGGGTTCAGGAGGGTAGGAGGAGGCTGATCTGCTTGAGCTATGCAGTATCCCAGGCACCTACAGACGCCTGGGCTGCCCAGCTCTCCCCGCCCTTTTAGGGCTGTCATCAGAAATTGCCTAGCTGTGGCTCCAGGCTGACGTCCCCGAGCTTCCTGCTGCCTGGCTGGCTGTCCATCCCCCAGCATCCTGTACACTGCCTGGCACCTCAGCGTTGTGCCTTAAATGATTCTGCAGCCACTGAATGAACAGAGGAACGGGAGGGTCGCCCCATTCCTTGTTCTGTTTCCTCATGTCCTATTTCTGGTGCTTTGGGTGGTCTGTTTCCAGCAGGGTAGTCAACCTTCCTTGCTTGCCTAGAGCCAAAGGAGCTCCCAGGACAAGGGACTGTAAGTATTAAAACCAGGACAGTTTCAGGCAAACCAGGATGGTTGGTCACCCTAGTTCCTAGTCTCATTTGGGCAGGCCAGAGTCCCTTACAGCTGAGCGTGTGAGACAGAGAACACCCAGGACCATGCTATCCTGTAGACTTTTCTATTTCTTTTTCTTTTTCTTTTTTTGAGACAGAGTCTCACTCTGTCACCCAGGTTGGAGTGCAGTGGCACAATCACGGCTCACTGCAGCCTTGATCTCCAGGCCTCAAGCAATCCTCAAGTTAGCCTCCCGAGTATTTGGGACAACAGGCATGGGCCACCATGCCCAGCTAATTTTTGTATTTTTCGTAGAGACAGAGTTTCACCATGTTGGCCAGGCTGGTCTCAAACCCCTGACCTCAAGTGATCTGCCTGCCTCAGCCTCCCAAAGCGCTGGGATTGATTATAGGCACGAGCCACTGTGCCTGGACAGAAGCTTCTGTTTCTTTGCTGATTAAAACTAGGGTCAGAATTTGTGGGCTCATAGACACTTCTCTAAGGATGGGGCTCATGGAGAGAGCTGTGCTTCCGGGTCTGCTTGAACTAAATCTTCCTGAAAAGGCAAGCTCGCCTGTCCTACATTTGGGAGGGTGAGATGACGCAGGAAAATTTGGAAGAACTTAGGAGGAAGAGCTGTGACCAGAGGAACTTGGTGGGGAATTTCCTGAGAGCAGACTTAAGGCAAGGACCTGACAACGCTGAATAGAGGGGAAGTAAGAATATTCCTTTCCCTAGATAGATTGTGAAACCAGACAGGGCTCTTGGCTAAAGCACCCCATTCACCGCCACTCAAGAGCGATTCTGGGGAGCGGCCCTCCCACACACCTACTCACCCACCACCCACATGCGAGTTATCTGCAGGTCCTTAGGGTAGGAGGACTGACTGGGGCTTCAAAACTTGGCTGTATGTAACCTCCATTTTACAGAGGAGGAAGCAGGCCCAGAAAGGGGTGTGCCTGGCCCAAGATCACACAGGGAGGCAGAGACAAGGCTGAAACCAGAACCACGTTACTGCTTACACACACACCCCTACACCAATTCCCTGTGTTTGAGCTGCATTAATACAGTCAGCCTGTATCTTCTGGTTTTCAGATACCTGGGGCCCAGAGAGGTTGAGTGGCCCAGGCAAGGTCACACAATAAGGGAAAATGATCTAAGCTTTCTCACTGGTCAGAGTAGCAGAAGTTGGAGAGATTGATGACATTCAGTGTTGAAGATATGGAAGACACTTCTATAGGCTACTTCTCAGTTCTTTCAACAGTTATGTGTTGAAGGGCTGCTCTGTGCCTGAAGATTTAGCTAGAAACAGTCAAATGTGGTCCTTGCTCCAGGAACCTGTCTTCTTCTTCTTCTTCTTCTTCTTTTTTTTTTTTTATTTGAGATGGAATCTTACTCTGTCACCCAGGCTGGAGTGCAGTGGCGTGATCTTGGCTCACTGCAATGTCCACCTCCCGGGTTCAGGCAGTTCTCCTGCCTCAGCCTCCTGAGTAGCTGGGACTACAGTCGCACACCACACCACCATGCCTGGCTAATCTTTGTATTTTTAGTAGAGATAGGGTTTCACCATTGGGTCAGGCTGGTCTTGACTCCTAACCTCAGGTGACCCGCCCACCTCAGCCTCCCAAAGTGTTGGGATTACAGACATGACAAGAACCTATCTTCTACCGAAGGAGACACATGATAAACAAGTAAGCCAATGCAATTGCTATAGATTGTGGTCAGATCTTCTGAAGGAACTAAACAGGTGCTCTGGTAGAGATGAACAGGGCAAGTTACTTCAGTTAAGGTGGGTAAATGGTGCTGAGCAGAGTTAAACCGGTAATACCTATTAGGAGAGCAGTTTATCAGTAGCTATCAAAATGTTAAAGGTGTAAACCTTTTAATCCAGCAATTTCCTCTTCTAGAAGTCTGCCCTACCAAAATACTAGAATACATGTGCAAGGATTTATGTGTAGGGATATTCATTGCAACACTGTCTGTAGTAATGAAAAGTTGAGGCAACCTAAGTGTCCATCAGTAGGGGAGCAGTTAAATCGTACATCCATTGGGTGAACCATCATAGGGTAACATAAGGGAGACATAGGCCATGTGTTCCTGTGTAGAAGGATGGCCACGCGATACTGTTCTTTATGCAATTTTATGTATTCATTTATGTCTCACAGTTATGCAGGATTTAGGCAGTTAGTATAAGGCACTTGTGTATATTATTTACATATATTGTATTTAGGCATTACACTGTTGTAGAAAGTTTTACAATATGTATGGCTTGACCCCACTCTTGCTTAAGAAATATAACTGTGTGAGTGTTGTTTGTGTGTGCATGGAATAGTATGTACCAGATTGGTTTTTCTGTTGTTTTGTTTTGTTGAGACAGGGTCTCACTCTGTTATCCAGGCTGGAGTGTGGTAATGTGATCATAGCTCACTATATTGAACAACTGGGCTCAAGCAATCCTCCTGCCTCAGCCTCCCCAGTAGCTGGGACTACGGGCATATACCACCACCCCTGGCTAATTTTATTTTTAAATTATTATTATTATCATCATTTTTGTAGAGACAGGGTTTCACTTTGTTGTACAGGCTGATGTTGAACTCCTGGGCTCAAGCAACCCTTCCGCCTCTTTCTCCCAAAGTATTGGGATTATAGGCATGAGCCATCAGGCCTGGCCTAGAATGTTAACGGCCAGTACCACTAAGGAGTAAAATCAGAAGTGGGAAGAGGTCAGAGTCCTCTTTCTATTAATACTATACCATTTATTTTTTGTATTATTTGGGTTTGTTGTATCAAGCATGTATTCATTTTATCATTTTAGAAATTTGCATTTTTAATACTATTTTACCTCTATTCTCCTAAAACATAACAAAAACAGGTGAGCCAGGACAGGGGCCCAGATTCACTATGCGTTGGTCAGTCCTGGTTTCCTCTGTCCCTGCTCGTGGCATGCCCACCACGCTGGCAGGCAGGCCAGGGACAGTGCAGGCCTTCCTCTGACCACCTCGCGACAGCATCCATCATCTCAGGGAATGCTGGGACTGTAGGCATGTGGGGCTTGGGCTTTCCATGCTGGGCTGGAAAGTTCTGTTCTGAGTGCCCATCCCTGGCTATGCTGACTCAGATCCCAAACAACCTGCTTGACAGTGGCCCTGTCTCCTCCCCGCAGGTACTACATGAGGCCTGTTCTTGTGGCCCGTGTGTTTTCTGGTGAAGAGGAACTTCCTCAGGACTCCCCCAGTGTCCCTTTGGTGGCCTCCAGATTCAATGATTCTCACACGCCCCCTCTCCGCCCCATCCTGAAGAAGACGGCCAGCCTGGGCTTCTGTGTCACCTATGTCTTCTTCATCACCAGCCTCATCTACCCTGCCGTCTGCGCCAACATCGAGTCCCTTAACAAGGACTCAGGCTCACTGTGGACCACCAAGTTCTTCATCCCCCTCACTACCTTCCTCCTGTACAACTTTGCTGACCTGTGTGGCCGGCAGCTCACCGCCTGGATCCAGGTGCCAGGGCCCAACAGCAAGGCGCTGCCAGGGTTCGTGCTCCTCCGGACCTGCCTCATCCCCCTCTTTGTGCTCTGTAACTACCAGCCCCGCGTCCACCTGAAGACCGTGGTCTTTCAGTCCGATGTGTACCCTGCACTCCTCAGCTCCCTGCTGGGGCTCAGCAACGGCTACCTCAGCACCCTAGCCCTCCTCTATGGGCCTAAGATTGTGCCCAGAGAGCTGGCCGAGGCCACGGGGGTGGTGATGTCCTTTTATCTGTGCTTGGGCTTAACGCTGGGCTCAGCCTGCTCCACCCTCCTGGTGCACCTCATCTAGGAGGGAGGACACAAGGACATTGGTGCTTCAGAGCCTTGGAAGATGAGGAGAGAGTGCAAGAAGGCTGGGGGCCATGGAGGAGAGGCCTAGAGTTTCGCTTGGGACAGACAGCAGAGCACACTCCGGGCTCATCCCTCCCAAGACGCCAGTGAGCCACGTCCATGCCCATTCCGTGCGAGGCAGATATTCCAGGCACGTTAACAGAACACTCTGAGACAGTTGAAGAAGAAATAGTACAAAGCAGGGGTACTCCCTTCACAGCCGATGGTTAACATTCCACCTTCTTTCTAGCCCTTCAAAGGTGCTGCCAGTGTTCGCCCTAGAGTTGTTACAAAGCCAGTGCCAAAACCCAGCCATGGGCTCTTTGCATCCTCCCAGCTGTGCTCATTCCAACTGACAGTGAGATGCAAGCAAATGCTCAGCCCTCCTTACCCTGAAGGGGTCTCCCTGGAATGGAATTCCCCCTGGCATGGTCAGTCCTCAGGCCCAAGACTCAGACCCCTGTGTTCTGTGGGTGAACAACTGCCCACCAACCAGACTGGAAAACCCAGAAAGACGGGCCTTCCACGAATGCTTCATTCCAGAGGGACCAGAGGGCCTCCCTGTGCAAGGGATCAAGTGTGTCTAGCCTGGGTTTTCAAAGAGGGATCCTCATGGCCTGGTGGTCTATGGCCTGGGTCAAGATGAGGGTCTTTTAGTGTTCCTATTTACAACATGTCAAAGCCATTGGTTCAAGGGCATAATAAATACTTGAGTATTCTATGTAAGCCTCATTGATGTTTCTGTTAGTCAGAGTCTTAACAAGCAATGGCATACTCAGATTAGGCAATTTGAGAATTTTTAAAAATTGTATTATTCTAATTATTGAGACAAGATATCACTCTGTCACCCAGGCTGGAGTGCAGTAGCTCAATCATAGCTCACTGCAGCCTTGAACTCCTGGGCTCAAGTGATCTTCCAGCCTCAGCCTCCTGAGTAGCTGGGACTACAAGTGCACAAAAAATACAGAAACATGGCTGACTAATTTCTGTATTTTTAAAATTTTTCATAGAGATGGGGTATTACTATGTTGCCCAACCTGGTCTTGAATTCCTGAGCTCGAGCGATCCTCCCACCTCAGCTTCCCAAAGTGCTGGGATTACAGGTGTGAGCCACTGTGCCAGCCTAATTTGAGGATTTTCTTTTTTTTTTTTTTTGAGATGAAATCTTGCTCTGTTGCCCAGGCTGGAGTGCAGTTGGTGCAATGTTGGCTCACTGCAACCTTGAGGATATTTTAAGAGCAGGTGTAGGAACCCCAGGGGGTTGTGCATTCTATCTAAAAACTAGTAATAGGGAGGCCATTCCAGCTCAACCCTGATGTGGTGGGTGGGAGGGAGTCCTTCTAGAACCTAGGGAGTGACTTTGTCTGGGGATGGGTTGAGACACATCCAGCCTGCTGTAACCCTGCAGGAGGGAGCTGAAGGAATAAATTCCCTCCATTCTTCCTCTGATTTCCATGTCCCTGTGCACTAAAGCCCAGCCAGCCGCAGGTGGAGAGGGTGGAGAGAGGCCTAGAGAGAAACAGGGAGGTGTCTGGCCCCGGGTCTCATGCATTGCAGGACCAGCGAGCACCTTGGCTTTCACAGGTTTATTTTTTGTGAACATCCCTGGAGGTCTGAAGCTTTGATCAGCAGAATTAGGTGTTGCTTTGTTCTGGTTTGTTGCAGATAGTTGTGTATATTGAAGCTGTTGTTTCAAAAGACAACCCCCAGGTTCCATTGCTCTATCTGGGGAGGCTGTGGCCCCTCACGTTGGCGATCTCCTGACATGAAGAGTAATTTATATTTTTTTCAGGTGTCTAGAAGGCTCCCAAAGGCTGTTCCTTAGAAAACAGCATGGCTCGGGAATCAGAGAGAGAAAGGAACCAGATCAGACCAGGAGCTCTCTCTCAAGAGTCCTGCGGAAAGAACAGAACTTGCCCCCAAGATGTGGCAACCCCTAGAGCTGTGAATCAGCCCTCTGCTTCTCTGCAGAAGCGCACTGGCTCAGTGGTGCCCTGCAGAGGCTGATGAAACTGAGAAGCAGTCAGTAATCCAGCCGGTGGCAGTAGTTCATGTTCCCTGCCGTCTCAGCCTAGTACATATTCCCTCTCCTTGGCCAGAGAATTAAAGAGGACACCTTGAAAGGGTTTCTGAACTCGATACCTACCAAAAAGAAAAAATTCTCCCTTCCCTTTGCAGGAGCCTGAAATCTCCCCCTTGGTTTCTTCATTGACTTTAATGCTGTGGATGATTTGGGGTGTTGGTCTAGCTGGTGACTCATCTCAATCATAAGTGTTTTAGAAATGAGAAGCATGGGCCGAGCACAGTGGTTCATGCCTGTAATCCCAGCACTTTGGGAGGCCAAGGCAGGCGGACAATCTGAGGTCAGGAGTTCGAGACCAGTCTGACCAACATGTCAAAATCCCATCTCTACTGAAAATACAAAAATTAGCTGGGCGCGATGGCTCACGCCTGTAATCTCAGCACTTTGGGAGGCCGAGGCAGGTGTATCACCTGAGGTCAGGAGTTCGAGACCAGCCTGACCAACACATCGAAATCCTGTCTCTACTGAAAATACAAAAATTAGCTGGATGTGGTGGCGGGAGCCTGTAATCCCAACTACTCAGGAGGCTGAGTCAGGAGAATCACTTGAACCCGGGAGGCAGATGTTGCAGTAAGCTGAGACCATGCCATTGCACTCCAGCCTGGGCAAAAAGAGCAAAACTCCATCTCAAAAAAGAAAAAAGAAAAAAGAAAAAGAAATGGGCACCATGCCTGCCTTAAAGTAAACCAGCAGTCTCTGAGCTCAGAGATGGGGACCACCTTGGAGCGATCACCTTGCAGCTATTGGGGAAGGAGTAGTGGTGGTCTCTCATGCTCTGTTGTAGGGAAATGGCTTTCAAAGAAGTGGAGGAGGCATCTCCATTAGAGAGATGATTTGCAGTTAGTGTGGAGCACGGGGAGTTGGGGGGCCGGCCGTGGTGATGGTAGGGCATGGAGATGATAGACTAAGTTGCATCCACTTTGCCAGGGGAGGAGAGGTCACTCTGTTGGGAGGGGCTGGCGGTTTGGCTGTTGGGGATCATCCAGGCTTTCGCTCACTTTGCTTGGTTACTCACCTTAGTGGGCACTTCACAGAGGGTCATTCCCTCCCAGGGAGGGAGGAAGGAAAATGAAAATCCATCTCCAGGCAGAAGGATGGTTGGGGAGTTCAATAACCCTTCGCTGTGAGAAGCAGCTCATGGGCGTCGGCTGCTCTGGATCTCCAGTCTCATGTGAACCCAGCAGGGCTTGTGAACCAGCTAGTATGTTTGGAGGGGTGAACAAAACTCACCAAAGAGGAGGGGAGTTTTCAATGAGGGAGGTAGAGGGGGTGCCTTGAGAGGTTGTCGTTGTCTAAGAGTTCTCTGATTTAATTCCAAATGGCAGTTTTTAGGGCACCATACAGATGTTCATTTTCCTCCTTCTTAATTTTTAATTTTTTGGTTTCTTTGAGACAAGGTCTCAGTCTGTCACCCAGGCTGGAGTGCAGTGGCATGATCACAGCTCACTGCAGCCTCCACCTCATGGTCTCAAGCGATCGTCACACCTCAGCCTCCCTATGAGCTAGGACCACAGGTGCATGCCACCACACCTAGCTAATTATTTTTTAAATTTTTTATAGAGGCAGAGCCTCAGCGTATTGCCTAGGCTGGTCTCTAACCACGCAAGCAAACACTGTGTTTGTGTTCTAGTGTTCTGTGAAAGGTAGAACTTGAAAGTGATGAAATCAGATGTTTAGCTGAGGACATTTCTACGCAATGTATTGACAGTGTGGCTTGGCTCCTCCTGACTGCTTATAATAAAATGTGAGAAGGTGGGAGGACTCAACAATTTTCCCGCCTCGGCCTCCCAAAGTGCTGGGATTACAGGCATGAGCCACCATGCCCGACCATTTTTCTCCATTATTCAATTAACAAAGCCGCATGAGTGGACTCTTCAACCAGTGGGCAACAGGGATTTCTGAGAACATATGCAGGAGCTGGGGGAAACTTCAACCAGGGGCGCTATTATGAGCAAAGACCCCTCATTCAGCTGCCTTCCACTCCGTGCTCCAGGGAGAAGACTTCAGCCTCCTCATCGGCTCGGAGGTGATGTGGGCGCTTAACTTTTGAGCCAATGTCACGCTTTTATAGAGAACTCCACGTAGAAGAGGGGGGAAAGCCTGTTGGCATATTTATAGTATATTCCAGCTGAATGTGAACTGAGAGCCCACGCATGTCTCCACTTGGTGGGCTTTCTGAGTGGGAGCACCTCGTGCCTATTCTACCGTCATCACTTCCTTGGTGGCAGCATTGTCAGTGCCAGTATGCCTCTGGGCCTGAGTCACTGTTGCTCTTCACTCACTCGCTGAGGCTGCCTGGTTCCTGGTCCAGCGTTGACTCCAGCAGGATCCTAGAAAGAATTTCTGCCCCACCATCAGGTAGAAGCTAGGACTAGTCATGTAGCCATAGAGCTGGCTACTGGGGAAGGAGTAGTGGGGGTCTCTCATGCTCCGTTGCAGGGGAATAACTTTCAAAGAAGTGGAGGAGGCATCTGTTAGATGATTTGTAGGTAGTGTGGAGCACAAGCGGGAAGGTGGGTGGTGATGGTAGGGCCTGGAGATGACAGATTAAGTTGCACACACTTCACCAGCCCCTGCTGCTGAGGTGACCCCTGCATGTCTCGCTGCTGATAAACCTGTCTTGGAACAGCAGGGTTGTGGGACATGAGACACAGCTTTAGAGGTCAGGAAGTCTTGCTCCCAGCCCCACAAGGCACCATCTGTGTGAGTCAACGTTCCTGAGTCTCATTTCCTCATCTGTAAAATAGGGATAATAGTAAGTCCCAGAGCTGTGACCATCTGCTGTGCCACTGAGCCAGCCTTTCACCCGAGTCACACCCACTCCCCAGCCCACATACGCAAGAGCTGCACCAGGCGTCACAGCCTTTGCAGCAGGCAACTCAGGGCACAGTGCACACCCCCTACTGCCACCAGGTTTCTGCCACTCAGGAAGTCCAGGGCAGCCTCAGCCTGAGATGGCGAACTCCACTTCAGGCTTCCCTGGGCTTGACCCTGAAGGAGAGTGACAAAGATAGCCATGCTCTCTGCCCCTACAAGGTTCCAGCCAACTGACCCATTGGCACTGTGCTCCCCGCTAAGAACAGTTCCGGCGCTTGACTGGAAGTTAGAGGAGCTCCAGGGCCACAACACAGGACCAAGGAATTGACAGTCACAGGATTCAGACATGCAGACTGAAGTTGGAATGCTGTTTCTGCCACCTCCTAGCTGGGTCACTTTAGCTACATCCTGCTGGTGCGCTTTTCTGATGTCTAAAATAAGCCAGCCAGGCATGGTGGCTCACACCTACAATCCCAGCACTTTGGGAGGTTGAGGCGGGAGAATCACTTGAGGCCAGGAGTTCAAGACGAGCCTGGACAACATAGTAAGACCCTGTCACTACAAAAAAAAAAAAAAGTACAAAAATTAGCCAGGCCTAGTGGTGCATGCCTATAGTCCCAGCTACTCAAGAAGCTGAGGCAGGAGAATTACTTGAGCCCAGGAGGTGGAGGTTACAGTGAGCTAGAATTGCACCACTACACCCTATCCTGGGCAACAGAGTGAGACTGTGTCTCTAAAAAAATAAAAAATAAAATGAGAAGCCTCTCAGGGCTGTAGAAAGATTAAATAAGCCCTAATATCATATGCAAAGGACCTGGCATATGAT